AGATGTGTCCGGGAGTGTGTTTAGAGTTACAGATAATGCCATCCACGAAGATGCGCGATTAAATTTAAATAGAGCATCTTTCTTGCTGTTCATAATACTCTTTCCTGATTAGTCAATTTCTATTAGTGTGCGTTTGCATTCATCGATAATTAGCGTGTATCGACAGATGTTTAACACATGCGGAAGATAGCACACATGCATTTGAACAAAGAGTGGGGCGCGTCTTCGTGGATGGCACTATCTGTAAGTCTACTCTTCGATGACATAATTTAAAAATATACGGTAAATAATTATAAAACATGTATTTTTTTAAAGTACTTAATGAAATCAATATTATAAACGAACGCACAACAAAAGGAAATATTCAAAATAGATCCAAAATGTCAGAATCTTGCGAGGTATTTGAAGTGACAGTAGAAAATCGCGACTCTGGGCGTTCACGTTCTGAAGGAGTTGAAGTTGGTAGCGTATAATAATGTTGTGCATCAGGGCGTGATTGTTGACTTGGTGCTGTTGAACGCCCGGCCTCCGGTGTGAAGTAACCACGCTCATACTCGTACTCATTAAAATTTCGCCACATTGTGTTTGGATATATATTATTTTGAGTAGAGGATCGGAATGATTCGATTACACTGATTAATTGAATTTTCGCAGCTGACTTTTTGTGCTCCGGAATTGCCCTAAATGATGATAATAGGGACATCAGGAACATTCTGTCCTCATCTTGTTCCAAAATATCCTCCTAATTTTTGCGAGTTTCAATACACTTGTTTAATGTGGTTAACAGTTCGCTTGTGCCATCATCTGACGTTTTTTTCTTTTTTCTTCCGACTATATTTTCTCTCGAGTAAGGTCCTAAAGGTTCTTGATCATTTGTCAAATGTTCTTGTTCAGCAATGTTACTCTCTGTGTTCAAATTACCAACGGTATTCTTCAAAAATAACAGCTGATTATAATAAATATAGGGAGTTTTATGGGAAGCAGCAGATCCGCTTTTAGTATTTTTTAATCTTCGTACTTCTCGCGAAAAGCAGCTTCTTATATTTTTCCATTTCTTTTGAAGTGAATGACCTGTAAATAATGTATATATTTAAATTATTTTTTAATTCCAGATATCTTGGAAGCGGTTGTAAATTTGTAGATTTACATTACTCATACAGACTTGGGATTTCAACTATAGCTGAAATAATAAGAGAAGTTTGTCATTTTATATGGGTTGTACTAAAAGACATGTGTTTACCGCAACCGACAAAAGAAAATTGGTTAAAAATCGCAAAAGATTTTCATTTACGGGCCAATTTTCCAAATTGCATAGGTGCCGTAGATGGTAAGCATGTAAGAATTATAAAACCATACAACAGTGGATCATTGTGTTATAATTACAAACACTTCTTTTCTGTAATTTTGCTTGCCATTTGTGACTCTGACTATAAGTTCATACACATAGACGTTGGTTCCTATGGAAAGGATTGCGATTCAACTATATTTACAAATTCAACGTTTTATCAAAAGCTAATGAACAATGATTTGCAAATACCCGAACCTAAGCCCATTTCATCGACAAACCCTATACCAGTACCGTTTGTTATTGTGGGTGACGAAGCATTTGGACAAACTGACAAAATTATGCGACCGTTCGGTGGATCAAATTTAACAACAAAGAAAAAAATATTTAATTATAGGCTTTCTCGTGCACGACGCCATATTGAATGTTTATTCGGCATATTAGCAAACAAGTGGCAGATTTTTCACAGACCTATCAACGTGAATTTAGATCTAGTATCATGCATCATCAAAACATGTTGCGCTCTTCACAACTATGTCCGAGAAAGAGACGGATATAAATTTGAAGATACCCTGAGCATTCCTGGCTTTGAAGAAGTCCCAAACGGTTTCCAAAGAGCTACGCGACGTGGTGCATCATACAGAGATGTATTTGCTGATTACTTTACAACTGAGGGTCAATTATCTTGGCAGATGAGCAGTATTAATTAATAAAAAATAAATGGCATTTCTTACTTACCTGAGTTTTTTTTTTCTTCGTCTGATAATTCTTCACCTCCAAATAAATCCACTATTTCTTCCCACTGTTTTTTCTTCAAATCCCGATTAGCATATTCCTCACTTTGTAAATCCCAAATAGCTTTTCGGGATTGTATTTCCGATATAAATTTATCCGTGTCAAAACTCATTGTGCGCGGCCGTCCGGTCGTTACGACAGTTGCTCGCAGTGTGAATGCTTTCAATGAAAGCAATTTGAAACCGTGCTCCTATTGGTCGCCGGCGACCGGCAGTTGCCTGTGCGTCGCCACTGCGCGGCGAGTCGCCGAGTCGCCCGGGCAACCGGTGACTAGTGCGTAAACACCTATTTAAACTATACAATATTACAGTCGTCGACAACTGAGTCGCCGGCGACTAGTCCACAGTGCGTAATAGCTCTTAAGCTCTTCTTTATAAGAGGGCCTAATACCCAACAGTACTAAAGGCAATGTGTCTACCCAGTTGCTGTCTGCGTGACACATTATTGCTGCCTTTAGTTGCCGGTGAAACCGTTCCACCATACCGTTACACGCTGGGTGATACGCGGTAGCTTTTCGATGTTTGAATCCAATCATTTTTCCTAAATAATGAAAAAGGGTGGATTCAAACTGTCGTCCGCGATCCGTTACGATATCAGTTGGACATCCAAATCTGGATATCCACGATATCAGAGCCTTTCCAACGGTCTCAGCTGTCATATCGACCATTGGCGAGACTTCGGGCCAGCGTGTGAAACGGTCCACGATGGTGAGGCAGTATCGATTTCCCTGTGATGGGGGCAGTGGGCCTATTATGTCCACATGGATAAAAGAAAAACGTGCCTTGGGTAGATCGAACGTGCCGAAGGGAGATGACACGTGGCGATGCACCTTTGCACGTTGACACGCCAGACAGTTCCGTGACCACTCTCGACAGTCTTTACGCATCCCAGGCCAAACGAATCGCTCCGCTACAAGTTTGGTTGACGCTCTGACGCCTGGGTGGCTGAGGTTATGAAGACTATCGAAGAGTTTTTTACGGAAGGGCTTTGTCACAAATGGTCTAGGTGACGGTGTGCTCACGTCGCAATATAGTTCCGAGCTACTGTTCGGAAGCTTGAACTGTTCTATACGCAGTGAAAGTGATGATTCACTGCTCAAGATATCAGTCAGTTCCGCATCAGAGGCTTGGGATTTTGCAAGTAGATCTAGATCGATTGGCATTTGCAGTTCCTCGATTCGAGACAAGGTGTCAGCCACGACATTATCCTTGCCCGAAATGTGGCGGATGTCGGTCGTAAACTGCGAGATGTAATCGAGGACTTTCCTATCATGAAAAGCGTAACTGAGCGGCTTATGGTCAGTATATGCTACAAAGTGCCTGGCCTCTAGCATGTGCCGAAAGTATTTTATGCTTTCATATATCGCCAAAAGCTCACGGTCATATGGTGAGTACTTCATTTGGGAAGGACTTAGCTTTCGAGAAAAGAAAGCAAGAGGTTGCCAAAAACCATCCTTAAACTGCTGCAAAACTGCACCCATAGCCAAATCTGATGCATCTGTTACGAGAGCAAGTTTGGCGTTGCAGTCAGGGTGTGCGAGTAGAGCAGCTTGGGAAAGGCTGTTCTTGCACTCATTAAAGGAAGCTAATGCTTCCCCGGTGAGATCGATCGGTTGAGACGCCTTGACCAAACCGGAAAGTAAAGCATTCAGCGGCAGCTGAATCCTAGCCGCATTTGGTAGAAAGCGCCTGTAAAAATTTACCATGCCCAGGAATCTCCTTAGCTGGCGTATGGTTTTCGGAGGTGGAAAATTTTGTATGGCCTCGACTTTTGAGTTCAAAGGCTTAGAACCGGCTTCTGAGATATGGTGTCCTAAGAATGACACCTCGCTAGCTCCGAAGACACATTTTGACGAGTTTATGAGGATACCGTATTCCTTCATTCGGTTAAACAGTTGGTGAAGGTGGTCTCGATGTTCTGCTTCTGTTTTCGAGAAGACAAGGAAATCGTCGAGAAAACAGTAGCAGAAATCGAGGCCTCTGGTCATCTCATCAACAAACCTTTGGAAAGTTTGCCCAGAGTTACGCAAACCGAAGCCCATGAATGGGAACTCATATAGGCCAAAGGGTGTAGTAATTGCTGTTTTTGCAACGTCCTCCTCAAAAACGGGAATCTGATTGTAGGCTTTTACAAGGTCAATAGTTGAAAAGATCTTGCAACCAGAAATAGCGTGAGCAAAGTCATGGATATGGTGGATGGGATACCTGTCCGGTATGGTCCGTGCGTTAAGTCGTCGGTAATCACCGCATGGACGCCACCCGTTATTCTTTTTAGGTACCAAATGAAGGGGTGACGACCACGGACTTTCCGATGGGCGTGCTGTGCCATTGCTTAACATGATGTCAAACTCTCGCTTGGCAATCAGCAACTTATCGGGTGCCAGCCTACGAGGTGAACAAGAGATAGGTGGTCCTGGTGTGGTGCTTAGTGTGATGTGTTGGCGTGAGCGGTGTACCTGAAGGTCTAGTGATTTCTGGATATTTATTTAGGATCGCGTGGTACTTAGAATCGCCAGTCAGCACCTTGACAGAATAAGCATTACAAACAACATTAGCAATTGAATTTACAGACAAAGAAGTAGTATTATCTATTAGGCGTTTGTTGCGCACATCTACGACAAGATTATAATGTGAAAGAAAATCAAAACCTATGATTGCTTTTGTGACATCAGCTACTATAAACTGCCATGGAAAATCTCTACGTAAACCTAAATTAAGTTTTAGATTAATATAACCATACGTATTAATTATACTTCCATTCGCTGCTGAAAGCTGGTAGTTCGCTTTCTGTCGTCGCTCCTTTAGTGCGTCGTAGGTGAACACACAGAGGTCGCTGCCGGTGTCCACCAGGAACTCTGTCTTCGTCACGTGGTCCTTGATGAAAAGGCGACTCATCGAAGCTGGGCAGTCGTCCGTCGCCATTAGCGATTGCCCGCGTAGTTTGCCGCCGGCTGATAGTCGCAAGGCTTAATACACCATCGAGCATTTGCCCCATATTTTGAGTGGTACCAGCATATAGGATACTTCCGATAGTTGGAGTTAGACCGTGTACGCTGACGTGAGGTCGATCGACGTCGTTGTGGTCTGGATCTGTTGCTGCACCTTCGGTTAGAGCTCGTGTGCTCATCTAGCTTTAACGCGAGACGCTCCACCATCTTCTTCAGCTCAGCGATTTCATTGGCAGGTTGAGCCACTGCAACGCTGGAAGACGCGACGGCTACGTTACAGGGTGCTGTGATTTCCTGTATGCGGTCTGCGAGGTCAGCCAATTGCTCCAGGGAATGAGTCGGTTGTGATGCTAGTACCGTCTGAATGTTGTGTGGAAGACGATTACTCCATATAGTTCTTATAAATTCTTCGGGCACGGAAGGTCCCGCTAGGTCCATCAGATGCCGAAGAAACTGTGAAGGTTTCCGATCCCCGAGCTCTTCGTGCGTAAGTAACTGCTTTACCTTCTTCTCGTGAGACGCGGATAGACGCCTGATTAGCTCCGTCTTTATCTTGTTGTAACGGTTATACGCCGGAGGATTTATGATGATATCTTTTACCGCTTTAGCGTATATAATATCTAAATTTATTATTACATTGGTAAATTTTGTAGCGTCGTCAGTTATATTTGAGTTCTCAAATTGGCTTTCTAGTAGTGCAAACCAAATCTCCGGGTCGTCTGGAGAAAATGGAGGCACCTTTATGTTAATTTTACGTGCGTCCGCCATTTTATCACGTTCGTCTTCTGTAGGGACGCGCACACGTTGAGCGCGCCGCATGGTCACTTTTTCTGACTTTGCCGTTGATCCCGCGGTTTTTACCGAATCACTGCTATCACTCATTTTAGTGTTCCTTCGGGGTCACCAGTGTGGTATAGTAAGATGTAATGTTCGTGTAACGACTAGGCAATTTAAATAATGTCCACAAATTCCGAATAATTCAGTTTATTACAATAGATACACACACAATTATTAAGATAAGAAGGAGAAAAGAATGATAGTAAATTGATAAAATATTATAACATTAATAGCTCAATAATAAAATTAACTTATGGGATAACAGTCTTTCACAACTTATATTACGGATTAAATTTGTGTGATAACAATCAAGCGACGGAGCAAGGAGCGGCATGCGCTTACGCGTATAAGGGTCTCGTTGCTAACTGGCGAGTCTTCTCTTAGGCCGTATTCAGTGCTCTCCTGACGGTCGGGACTGACGGTCAGTGCGTACGCACGCACTGACCGTCAGTCGGCTTTATGCATTCAGTGCTCCACTGACCACCGTACGGAACAGCAGGGTATAGTCGTGATGTATCCGTTTATAAATTGTTTAATTACTCTTTACTATTTGAGGCGATTACGAATGAAAAAAAAACGAAGAAGATATCACGTACATCCAGTTATTGCTAACAGGCTACTTGAAGGAGAATTCAGTACTCTGTTTTCAAAACTTAGAAATTATAATGAAAAATTCTCTGATTATTTTGGGATGTCAGTAAAAAGTTTTGATGAACTGCTGGCAAGAATTCAGGATCATATTAAACATCATAACATGTTTAGGATTCCAGTACGACCCGTTGAAAGACTTGCTGTGACATTGAGGTAAGATAAAATCGAAAATATTTTCGTAGTCGGGTGCTATTCCACTCATCAAATTTCTTTGATCAAAATATCAGTGCATTTTTCTAATAATATCAACATAAAAGTCAGCTTTCTCTTTTTGTTGGATAAAATTGATGGGTAGAATGGCTGGCACCCTTACATAGAGTACTTTTAAATATGAAATTAGAGACCTTTAAATATGAAATAGGCAAATTAAACATGTTTATGTGCTAAGTTTAATAAGTAATTTAGGTAATACAATCAGTTAAGTAATTTAGGGAAATGCAATCAGTATTATCAGTATCATGTGATTGTCAGTCATTGCTTAAAATTAATATACTGAGACAAATCAGATGATGGGTTTTCCAAATTTTGTGATGTGCTCGTATAAGCGAAATTACGATTAGTTGTCACTACGTTTTGAAACGAAGGTTCTTCAACTGAATACAAAACTATGTCTCGAGATCCTGGTGATGGTATATTGAAGCTGGAAGCAGACAAAGATGTGATTACCGAATTTTGTGATGTATGTGCGATATTTGGATTAGTTCTCACTACATTTTGAGACGAAGGTTCTTCAACTGAATACAAAACTATGTCTTGAGATCCTGATGGTAGAGATTCTGGTGATGCTATATTCATGCTGGAAGTAGAAGATTCAGGGCGAGAGGTAGATGCATACATTGGTGAAGCAAGAGGAGTGATAGACGAAGGGCAGTTACAAATTTCCAGGGCTTTATTCATTACTGCAGTACGGAACATAACTTTTTGACGATTGTCGAATGTCCGTGTTAAAGGTAAAAGAGAATAAAAAAATGCCATATCGTCATTTTGAATAATTTCGCTGTTTTTTGTTAAAAACTCCAAGATGTTTTTATCGAAGTAGCTGTCTTCATTAGTTTTTGCGTTTTTACGCTTCCTTGATGGGTTTGTGTTAGGAGTAGAGCTAGATTGTTTAGTTGTGTTTGAAGAATCTTGTCTAACTTGGCTGGAACACTGTGGTTGGGTTTCTGGATTGGTGGATACTGTTTCAGTAGAACGTGGATTGATTGGAGACTCTAAATTTGAATCTTGTTGTGTATCTTCTCTTGTTTCATTTTCTTCAATAGAATCTTCGGTGTCGGCAACATGTTTTTTGTCAAGAAACTGTAAATGTTTGAAAAATACGTATTTGGTTCTCTTTCCGCCTTCCGATCCCGATTTCACAGATTTCATAGAATTTTTGCATCTCATGTAAGCATCTCTCGCAGTTCTCCATCTTTTGGAAAAAAAATTGTGTTTTTTGTTCCAGGTACTTAAGAACTGGACAAACGTTTTCGGACTTACATTTCAGTTATCAACTTGGCAAATCAACTATTTGTCTCATTGTTCGAGAAGTTTGCCTGACTATTTGGAATGTGCTTCACAGTGAATGTCTTTCGCTCCCTAGGTTCCCTGAAGATTGGCTTAAAATTGCTTCAGGATTTGAGCAGGTTGCCAACTTTCCCAATTGTGTAGGATGCCTAGATGGCAAACACGTGAGAATTGTTTGTCCCGAAAAGAGCGGTAGCTTATTTTTAAATTACAAGAAGCATTTTTCCATCAATCTACTAGCAATGTGTGATTCAGAGTATCGTTTTACATATATACATGTTGGTTCGTGTGGGTCAGACTCTGATTCAACAATTTTCAAGAATACTAGTTTGTACACAAAATTACATAATGGAGAACTAAATTTACCAAGTGCTAAGCCATTACCTAATACCACTGAACCAATGCCATATGTGCTAATAGGCGATGGAGCGTTTGGAATATCGAATAAAGTCTTAAGACCTTATGTTCGCAGCAATATGACACATAAAAAGAAAATATTTAATTATAGATTAAGTCGGGCGAGAAGGTACATTGAATCGACGTTTGGAATAATGTCCAATAAATTTAAAATATTCCAACGCTCAATAAATCACTCACTGCCGAATGCTATTAAACTTGTTAAAACCTGTTGTATTTTGCACAACTACATTAGAGAAAGAGATGGCTATAAATTTGAGGATACGCTAACTATTGAAGGATTTCAAAATAATACCAACACTAACAACATCTCGGTTGTCAGATCCGGTGATGTTTTGAGAGATAAATTTGCTAATTACTTTGTTTCTGAAGTTGGCGCAATTCCGTGGCAAGATGATTCTATATTTTGATTGTTATTATTTAGATACTTGTATATTCAATAAAAAATATTTTTAATAAACACATTTTTTTACTTACCAAAGTCTTTTTTATCATTCTCAGACAAATCATTAAAATCGGGCAAAAGAGCTTTATACACTCCAAACCATGCTTGAAGCTTGGCATCTTTATCTTTGAATAAATCGTGAGATAGATCCCACAAAGGTGGTCTTATTCGAACTTCTGTTATCACACGTTCAGTGTCGATGTTATGTTTCGACATGATTGTACTCGCTAACGTCCGTTCGAGTCCCGCTTCCGCAACGCACTAAATGCTCTGAAGCATTGCATAGCGCGTCAGTCACCTGACGTACGCAGCACCGACGCGCTCGACTGACCGTCTCTGTCAGTATTGCGTATGCGGACGCGGTCAGTGCTGCTCTGAATGCACGCATGGTTTCTATGGCGATAGCTACGGCAGACTGACGTCAGTCCTGACCGTCAGGAGAGCACTGAATACGGCCTTAAACTATGCACCGCGGCCGGTCGACCGACCGGGGAACCGGTTCTACGAGAGTGCCTTCCACGTACGGGACTTGATAATATAAAATACTAATATAAGTGATAATAAATAAGTATGCAGTACATAGTAAATAAAATATATATATGAATACTATAGATTGTGTATGATAAACTTAACTGTATAATGAGTTATTTATATACATATGTAAATAGATATTTCCAATGTGTGTGTGTAAATAAATAGATACACCACACTTTGTTAAAAAACCAATAAAAATTGTACATTAATCAGAAATCCTTCAAATACACAAATCTATTGTGAAAAACCCATTCAATAACCCCTCATATACCATGCCTCTAGCTACTGAATCTGCATCCAATCAAGTAGGTTTAATCAGATTGATTAAATCAAAACCCTGGATTATCAAAACAATCTATGTTGTTGGCTTTATTTTAACTCTACTAGGAGGTTTACAAATAATACTGAAGTTGGTCAACTCGAACAACTCCACACACAAGTTTCAACAAACATCATTATTTACGACTCCACCAGACTACAGTACTTCCCCCTATTTAAATGCAGAAGATCTAAGGTATATAAAGATGTGGGACAGATTAAAAATAAATAAGATTTTTCCCCCCCACAACAATCAATCAGATTCATGGCATAGTCTATTGGAACTCCCTAATAACCTACAAATGCTCTCTTCTGTCATCTACCCCCTCAACAATATCTATAGTACCCATATTAGCTCAAACAGAAACACTAACAGAGTATGAAGAAGGAGAATCTCTATATATAATAAATCAACCATACCTTGATAAAATCAAATGTACCTTAGGAAATTTATGGGGTACCCATGACATAAGACAATTAAATATTATTAAGATTTTACTTACTTTAGAGGATAATAGATTTAAGTACAACTTTACATTTAGTTTAGAAACATCGCACCCACTTCCACCTGACTATTTCAGAAAGAGTTGGGCAATAACTCCATCAAATAACTTTGGGTGTGAGGAATATCATACTTTTTCAGAATCTCAATCAATAGTGAGAAGAAGAGGTCATCATCAATTACAACTATCCCCTATACCTGCAGACTCTTCCATTAACTTAAATTATAGAGATCCAATATCAGAATGTCTATCTTCAACAGGAAGAAGAACTATTTACTGGTCTCAACAAGGATACTTCTATACACTACAATATGAAGGATCCAGAAGAAGTTCCAACCACTCTTGGAATGCTGAATCCAAACATCAAACCTTGATCTCTCACCCCTCCCCTCAGCTGAAAAGGACCACCCATCAAAACTCCACATATACCTCTCATTAACATTATAAGTTATAAAAAAAAACCAATCAAAATAATACAATTAAATCACTCAAATTCAGGAACACAAGAATTCAATCCACTCTTGATCTCAAATTTTATTTCCACCACTTCATCCCTTATATATAAAATCCTCTGCACTTCAAAATAAGCATTAATTTGTAATATGTATATACTCACTTATAGTATGGCAATAACCAATAATCTACAATCCATAATTCAAGCAAATGATACA